TATGAAGATTTGAGCAAATAAAAAAATTTTTGCACAGAAATACTCCAAAACAAAACGCTTATTTCATTAAGCGAAAAAAAAAATTTGGGGTTTAGGTGCACTTTAATTACTGCGTTATTCACAAAATGGCCGCTTCCATGCCAGTCGAATTTTTGAAAAATCTGAAGACAATTTTTTTCTGGTTAACTTTCTCTTCAGAAGCTCAAAACGTGTTTATCAATTAACTTCAATATACAATATTAAACTGATGGTAGAAAAAAAAAGTTATGCTTCTCAAGTGTAAGTGTCCTGATTAAGTTATAGACATATTACACTAGCCTTTTTCTAACCTTGTTTTTGTAACTTGAAAATCCAACAGCTGGCGTCCATTCAGGGTAAACTACGGAGAGCGGCTGTGAGTTCGAAAAGGAGTCACAAGTGGATCAGACAATTGAAGGATAACGATAGAAGATAAAGATAGTTTTAGCAGACGCCATTTGCATCCAATATTCAATATATAAATAGTTGGTCTGTCCTTCGATGAAACATGTATATGCGCACGAATAGTCGCAAGGATTCATCAAATTATATGACAGGACCGGAGGAAAAGTGAGAGATGGAAGGTTTCCATTGACTGCTTAGCAGTAACAACAACTGTACAAACCACCCCCATTGATTATGTTTCATGCAAACATTTTTAATCCTACACACGGCCATCCGTAGAATCAGTCATGTCAAGTCCCAAGCGCTTGTCAAAATAATATATTTTTCAATCTAAAAAGGTATATATTTTCTAGCCAAAACCAGAGTGGGGGATATCAAATTATCCTTGGAAGAACTCACTTCAGAAAATTTTAAATTCTTAGAGAAACCGCTGCTCGGTAACATTAAATATGCGGTTTAGTTTAGCCAGTAGACTTGAATCAAAATTTTCTTCGTAGTCTGGGTTCGAGTCAAGCTGGCTGAAGCGTACGAACTACCAGCCAATAGAAAACAATAGTCTGTTAGATTAATGCCAGTATCTGAGAAACTGCGCACCCCTAATTTGTTATCAGTCGACCGTTGTTCAGTTAGGGGAGAGGAGGGTACGAAATTGCTCAGATTCTCACATTGACCCTAAATGTTCACATTCGAAACCTAACCATACATGTAATAATCGTATATATAACAGCGTACTTATTCATGATTTGTTTATTCGTATGTAGCATCAGACACCAATAACTATTGGCCCCTGGTATCATCTTGTGTCAAAAAATACCTTTGAGATATTATTTCACCAAAAAAGACTGAAGGTTTAGTTAGATCTCATACAAGTGTCCAGTAAACATTTGCCTCGGCTTCAACTGATGTACAACCCAATGTTTGAAAGTAATTTGAAATGAAAACGTTTACCACGTAAAATTATTTCCACTTAATAAGGCACCAAGCCTTACTCTAAAGAAAAGGCTGAGGTCATTTTAAAAGGGGATCACATTCTTTAATCACTTGGAAACCCCTAATTTTATCCTCTTAAACCTCGAATTCAGACCAATGGGTATTTCGTATTTTGAAAACTATATAGGAACGATTTCATGCCTATTTGCTGACTCCATGTAAAAAACAAAATTATAACCTGAAAAAAAGGTTGAATTGTATAAACTTCGTCTAACTTTACTTGTCACGTTCCTTTCTCAGAAAATAAAGTTTTCCGTAGAAAGAGTACCAATTTTACGTCTTTTTGCTTTGTGGTGACTTACTTAACTGAAAAGGCATTATTTAAAGTGGCTAGTACTAGTTTCCTCGCGCGGAGAACGGTCACTTTTGCGTCACGCGCGAAAGAAGCGTGCGAAAGAAGCGCGAGATTAAAAGACGAAAAATCAAAACAAAGATGGCCGCGCGAGGCTTTTTTTCTACTTTTGTAAGAAGTTTACCTAACAGCGTGTATTTGATGTGTCGAATGGCCACTGCGTATGCAGGAGACAGAAACGAAGATAAAGAAGACGATTCTCGGAGACAAAGGTTGCTTCACATCTAAACAAAATATCCAACCGATATAGGAGAACTCAAGTGAAGGATAGTCTGCCTGAAGTGGAAGAAGACTGTGAAACTTCAAGGAAAATAATATAATATAGTCAGAAGTTGTGAGTAGGTCCTTTAAGATGAACCCGGGAGGCTGTCTTTGACGGCTATTGAATGATTTTCTAAGCAGCAAACGTCTGTAAACATCGGATCGTAGGTGCTCGTGCGAACACACGCGATAGTCAGCGGTAGCTATAACAGATCATGAGCAAATGTCGATCTTATAGAATCCAGATTTTTAAATGCACGAGAACGTGCGTGGGAACTGCTAAACTCATGAAAGCTATTGCATGAAAACAAGTCAGGTTACCCCTTGTTTTTATCGTTCCAGTATGATAACAACGTTTAAAGGAATCGTCAGAATAAAAAAGAAATAGAACATTCTACGGAAGGACATGTACGATGCGTGAAAATTGCCTCTTTCTAGATTTTCTGAAATTCCGCGCCGTAGAATATTTTTCAAATCCTTGTGCATTTTCCTTTCAAGTGCCGAAAGCAATCAATATTTAAAAATCACGGGGTCACCGAGTTAGTTTTCAAATTATTTGAGCCATAAGCTAAAGAATGCGTCTGAATAATCCTTTAAAAGCGTTGCCATGGAAACTGCTAGTGACGAAATGACACCTACTTTTGGATAACCAATGATTATATAATTCAACCCTGTAAAAGTGTTCAACTGCCCTCAGTCAGTCTTTTTGTTGTATTCTTTCAAAGTTACAAACCATCAAAAAGATGAAAACTGGTACCAGCCACCTTAATACACTTTCGGGGCCATATCAACTGACGGAATTACAAAATGCAAAATGGGTAAATAAATTCTCCGTAACTAGTTTTGCTAACTATAGCTATCTTGGAAAACGAGATAAATAGGTTTCGCTATTTTTGTCTTCATGTACGCCAACATGGCCGTCGTGGAAATTGCATGCACTTTGATACCTCTGTATTATAGTCAATAGCCTATTCGCGAATTACCTTTAGCCTCATTTTCAAAGCGAGTCCTGGTGCTCATCCTTTCATATGATCATAAGTATTCATTCACATGCAAATTAAACTCATTTTCATACCGATTGGTTAAGCACACCAGGCCTCGTTTTGAGAAAAAGGCCAACGTAATTCGGAAATGGCTAATTGCTGAAGTGCCTACAATAAAAATAGAGCGCTTTTCGATTGACTGTAAAGAGTGTCGCAAATCTCGACCAAAGTGATTGCGATGGCCAATCAGAAGACAAGAAAATATTGCACTGGCCAATTAGAAGAGAGGAAAATATAACAAGAGGCCAGTTAGAAGAGACGAAAATATTAGAACGGGCAAATGAGAATTCAATCCCTCCGAAGTGCGGGAAAAAGTAAGAGACCAAGCAACGATTAGTTTAGGTTTTGCACCTGATTGGTCGAGAAACTTGCACGAGAAAAATGTTGTCGAGTTTAACTTGCGATTAGGTGCTCTTTCTGGGGGCAGCCCCGAGTGGGGAACGCCTCTAAAAAATAAAAATACTGTACTGTCTTCTCCTCAAGTCCTTAAAGCAAACTAAAGAAAAAAATAAACAAAGACGCTGAGGGATTCTTTTTTTGCACTCACGCTTTTATTTTGTCATTTGGACGTAAAATTGTTCATCAACCTCACCTCTCGGAGTGAATAATAGGTAAACCAAACATGGCGGACTAAACCGCTGTGACACAGTCCTTCTAACAGTTCTCATCGGCTGGATGTGATAACTGTCTTCTTCCTTAAGTTGCAAAGTGGCAGGATGATAATTGTAGTATCTACGAGCTCTCCTGTACTGATTATATCTTATTTTACAACATTCTACAACTTTAAATTACAGATCACTGACTCTTCAGTCCATGTACAATACTGTACACTCGTTCATTCTGAGTTTACGCTTTAAATTAAATAGCTTTTTACAAGAAAAAAGGAGAATGATGGCAAAAAGCAGAACGACCCGAAAGTTGGCTGAGATATGTTCATTCCACTTGTTATATTTAGTCATTATTTGTCCCAGGGGGGTGGTGTTTCACTATGAAATCGACCTGCTCCCTCCCAAGGCTCTGTAATATTCTCATTGCTCTCCCCCCCTGCAATTTGATTGGCTCCGCTTCTCGCTAAGTAGCCTAATATTGCTGCAGTTTTAAAACAAAGTAAACGAAAACACGAGCCTGGCTTGGCGTTAAGTTTTGAACGACTTGTAGATTTGTTTTCTACAACTGGAATGTTCACTCTTAATTTCTAGACGAGATAGAAATCTTGACCACAAAATCTTCATGTTTCACAGACTGAAAAGACTGAAAGTCTATTTCTCAAGACGTTCCCTCTGTGAATTCTTGCTAAAAATGTTTAAGTCCATTTCCCTTTTTCCAATGTCATTTCCATTGTTAAAAATAAGCACCTCGTTTTCTGCTACCTGGGCCGATATGAATAAAATCAAGAAAAAAAAAATCACGGAATATCAAAAAGACGTTTTCAACGAGAATTGTACGTTATATTTTAAGAACATATGCGACTCTGAATGTAAATTATTCTTAATGGTTGTGCATCAAATCTCTAAATAAAGGAACTGATAACGTTGAGTTTCGTCATATTAACCGTGTGTGACAAACCTAAGAAACTGTACAACGGATGGCTTTGTCACGTGCGTATCATACAAGGTTGAGCGACATTTCGCGGGGTGGACTTGTTGTGACAACCGATGGAGAGAAAATGTAGATTACGTGACTACCAAAAGTCAGGTGTGATTGCACTACAATACTCTTTCGTGATCTTCGGGTAAACCGTTCGCCAAAGAGGCAGCACCAATTCCTTTCAGCACCATACTTTCTTCATCAGATCCAGGGGTAACCAGCATTCTCTTGTTCAAATCTGGGAGAGGCTTTCTCGAGTGATTGAGCTGCGGTAACCGAGGTGGCACCTTCTCGCTACTCGATACAGACTCCGTGTCGGAGATCTCGGACGCACGGTCCCCGTCTAACGTGGAAGATGCGTATGAGCTGTCTGAAAACAAAACAAAGAACTTTCGGTGAGTCTGGTCTCGAGCTCAGTGACCCACGAAGCCAAAGCTTATCCGTGTTTCCGTATGATTAACTGGTTTAGGGTCTTGGGGTGGGGTGTTGTTTTCGGCCTCCAAGGAGGCGCTTGTTAGGACGCTGCAGCACCAGCATTTCTCCGTGTGCGAGAAAGTTTGGATCCCTTGGCAAAACAAGGGTTCTGCGAGGGATGTGACACTAATAATGGGGCTACAACCCTCGCAGACTTTCACTAAGGGCCTAAAACTTCCTGTGCTGTTGCCGCGGTGCAAATAGTGAGGACCTCCTCCCAGGCCATTGCAAGTAGCCCCCAACATTTCGCCTGGTTTACGGTTGCCCATCTATTTCTACTCCTAGGTGGAGAAAGGCATCACCATAAAAGTAAAGTGTCTTGTCCAAGAACACAACGCAAAAATAAGGTTAAGGCTCAGAAAACCCAGACTTAACCCACTCATTGAGCCTGGTCACCAATTTAGTTGTCCCTGCTTGTACACATTCCTAAACACTTATTTATGTAGATAGATAACGTCCACGTTTCCTTTGTCGGATGTCTTTTTAGGATCCATATATCCGCACGTAAGTCTTACAGAAAGGATAAAAAAGAAAAAAAATTGTCTTTCCATTCAAAACGTCATAATTTCAGTCCCCACAGCAAATAAGAAAGAAACGCGTGGAACAATTGACTCAAGCCCGCCGTTACTTTGAGATAATTTTCTACATTCTCACCACCTCTTCCATCAAAAGTGAATTAAAATTGAACGGAGAAATTGGAAGCACATCTCTTTTTGAGTTTAATACCTGTCTCATCTTCTTCCTCCTGCATCTCGCTGAGCGGTTCTAGAGGTGTGACTGCTTTCTGTTGTTGCTGTTGTACAAGGGGCTCTCCTGTTTGCGATGACAGAGATAAATCCAGCTTGCCGCCCTTACTAAGCCTGTCACACATCAGTGCTATGTGTTTCTTCAGCTTGCTTGTGTCTTTGGGAATCTTCATGGCTGAAACACCAACTGCGGAAAGAGACAAAGAACGAGATTTGCACACGCGGTTAGTGAAGATTTGTCTGGAAATTCCAACCCTTTTTTGTTTTCAGAATACCACTTCAACTTCCAGACTCATCGAATCCGACACAGTTTAACAATTGAAATAGCGGGACTCACCAGCCTGATCCTTTGCACTTTTTGCTAAACAGGTCCGCAATAGGTGCGTAATTGCAGCGTCTGTGATTTCCTCCCAGCCCTGAACACAAGGAAAGACACAGAACTACATAACCGTTGCATTTCTACAACCTAAATTAACAGCAAATTTCAGATGTAACTTGATTACTACCGTTACACGAAAGAGGACTGGTCGCATAGTTTACGGTCTCAAAACGAATTAAAAATCGACTCGGGAGAGAGGAATACCAATGGGTGGGAGGAAAAATTCTCGAAGCAAGGTCGACTCCTAACAAATAAGCTGACATTATTGTACACGCATTTTGATTGGTTCTTACTTATGACCTAATGGAGGACAGACGCATAGATGACGTCACCACTAACAACCTTTTTTTTCTTTTTTTTGTCAAATAAAACAAATAGGCTCTATGTTGCCGTGGGTCTGTACAATAATAGGTCACAATACTACAATACAAATAATAAGTCAAAATGAGGTAAGAATAGACAGAGCTGAATAACGTCGAAGGCCGCATGCCGTCAACAACGCGGGCTTAAGCGTGCGAGGTTTAAAATTAAGCGAAATTTGGGAAAATAATGAGTTGGCATTTAAAACCGAGAAATTTTGGTGTTGTTGAAGGAATTTTCCTATTTCCAAAGTTGTTAAGGAGAAAATTAAATAATAGAAAATATTCAGAGGGTGTTCAAGTGTGGAAGTTGTTCTGTAGAAGAGCGACAAGGAATACAACGCCTCGAAGCAACAGAATAGAAAATCAACCACGCGAACGACTCAAAATCCGTTTTTCCGCGCCAAAACCTAGCGCGTGCGCATACGTTATTCAGCTCAGTCGTAAAATCATCGGTGACACACTGGGCTGCGCCTATGCGCCACTTTTTTGTTTTTGCCACATTTGGACGTCATCTGTGATCTTTTACTGAACAGACGCACTGCAACACGGAATCTATTTGTCAAATAGAAAACGGGTACACGACTTGATTTACTTTTTGCATTTTGTTTGTTTCCGCTTTGCCATTTTGTTTTGTTTAGTTTTTTTTTTTTTAAACACCACCGTTAACTCCATATAATTATCAAAAGAGTTTGCGATAAACTAGGTCGCCCATAAAGCTATCTTTTTTGTTCGCTTTTTTTAAGGAAGTAACCTGACGTCTCAAACTACGGATGTATACGAGTGTTGAAGACGAAAATCTAGTAAATGCCCGTAAAGGGAAACTACACAATGTTCGCGACAAGAATAACGTACCTGTTCCTGTGATTCAGAAACTTCGGGAGAAAGCGCAGTCTGAAGAACCTCGAAATCTTTATCTGACATGTTGGTCCATAGCCTGTAGATCAATTAAAAAAGATTTAAACAGATGACGTGGACAAATTCCTATATGGCGAAAAGATATGACGTCTGCATGACGTAACGTGGCACGAATTTGCGTTCGCATCTCCTTACGGAATGTCACGCGAGGATAACACATTTCATATCTCATAAACGTGGTTCTTGGGGCCCGTTTCTCGAAAGTCCCGGTAACTTAACCGTCCCACAGAGCTGTTCTGCTTTCATTCAAGATTGGGATCTAAAGTTTTGAAAATGATACAATAAAACTATCAGCTAAAGAAACAAAAAGGACTGGTTTGGGTGCAAACCTGCTTTCCTATCCTTTAAGTTATGATTTTAAAACATGGCTTCGGGCCCGTTAAGTTACTGGGACTTTCGAGAAACGGGCCCTGATCACAACCGACCGCGAAATATTCGACTCGTTCACGCTCGAGGCAATACCTTTACCTTTTCTTACATATTCTGTTCATCACAAAAGAGCCAATTTCAGCTGAGTGTCGGACATAATCCGGGATTGCCCCGTTTCTTCTTTACGTCGCTGTGTTATTGGTCAAGACTGAAAAAAATTTTAGTCTTAACTCTGCGTTTTCATCGGCTCCTTGAAATCTTTTCCTCATTTATGATTGGCTGTTGTGATTACCTTGGTTTTTACTTTACGACACTCATTCCCCAGTGCTCTATCATTGACAAGAAGGTTCTTACTTACTTGATAAGGAAATTAATAAGTCGTGTTCCGCATGATAAGTTATATGCGGCTGCCTCGATGGCTCTTTCACATTCCTCCTCGGCCTCTCCAAGTGCAAGGAGCTGGGGAGATAATTTTTTATATCAAACAAACTTTCTACCAGAAAGCATGCAAGCTGATTGAAGTTTAGAGCAGAAATGTGGGAACCTGATGTTCAATTCTGACCAATGGTAAGTTACAAAGTGCAAATGTGCAATGGAATGCAATTCTATCAATCTTTTGAAATTTTCCTCGGTACGAAGGGAACCATCAAGAAAGTTGACATTTCCCAATTTCAATCATTAAAATCAGGAATACGCTAATTACAAAATTAACAAAACCATAGCGAAATACTCCAAACTTGGAGGTTTCATATTTGTGATTGGGAACGACAAAGATGACATAATATTTAAAACAAGTTACGTCCTGTTAATTCTTTATCACAGTTGGGCAAACAATTAGATTAGCTGAAAGAGTTTGTTTGTCTTGTCTTGATACAATTCGATCCGCTGTTTCCAACAAACACCAAGTTTGGTAAAATTCAGCGAACTTATGACGGCTGTAAGATTTCCTCGCCACTTCTTGTGCAAGCATTTACACTCATATTAGTACCATATTAAACTATCAAGTAAAATGAAAGCGACTTATTTCCTATAAACCCCCTTGCAGTGTCAGTCTTCATTCCATGTACCTGTCTGTATGTCCCGTCAAGAAGAGTGTCGAGGTTCGCAAGTGGTGCCGGGGTCTTGTCTTTGAACCTTGTTAACAATCTTCTTTGAATGGCTCGAAACTGTTGAGCCCGCTGTGATAGCAACTCGCGGTACTTTGTTTGATTACAGCGTTGCTGTAAAACAGAAGAAGCAGAATTAAAGGATCAGTTTCATTTATGTTGCATCCTCACTGAGGAGAGACCTTTAAGCAAAGTGCATAGAGTTTCAAGGATACTCGCCCAGTTCCGAAATAGTATTAACCCTTTAACGCCAAGATCTGATTGTTACTACTCCCGGCTCCGGCTACTACACACTTCCTTGTAAATTAGTGACGAAAATTTGTTGTTAGATTAAAATAACAACTTGTACCTGAGTCACGGCTGACTCAAACCCACCTCCATAAAGTTGTTTTGAAGAAGTATGGTGTGACAGAAACGTTTAAACTATAGGTAGGAAGCACTTTTCCTGATAAAGTCTAAAACAAATGAGGAAAGTACTCACCTCAAAGTGAGCATCTATAAGTTCATAATATTCTTGTAAAGGCAACGGGCCCATGAATGATGCACGAAATTGAACGGTGTCCTACGAAGAAATCACACGATAGAAATCATCAAAGAAAGATTCACAGAACGAAGTGAGTCAACAAGTCGTCTATTGAAAATCGTCGGCTGATATTGAGATCCCTACATCAAGCAAACGATGCAAAGCTATGGCCGAAAAAGAATAGACAGAGGAAACGACCTCATGAGGTAACCATCCGTCTCTGAAAGAAGCAAATGAAGATATGACATGTTTCTGTAAAATATCTTGTTGGTTTTACCTTGTTCTTTTTGAAGTGCGCCTCTAACCGCTTGCAAACCTCGTGTAGTACTAGCCACATTCCCTGAAATACGTCACACTGGATTCTGTATCTTTCTGTAAAGTAAAGACACCGCTCTTTTCACTCACATAGTAGAGCACAGCACCGTGAGAGAGGAAACAGGAAGTGAAATGATGAGTTCGAAGTAGACATAATTTGCTCATTTGTTCCCCCCATTAAACTAGTACTACAGTAGTTTAAAGTACTAGCACTACACTAGTTTACTAGTACTACACTAGTACTACACTGTATATTTTGTAGAGTGATTTTAAGGGACACTATTCTTATTCTTATTCTTATTGTAATCATATTCACACGACCCCACAAGCCCCCTGCTTTAAACCTCATCGTGTTTAAATAAAGGATATGATTGATTGATTGATTGAACTATTATAATTTTTTTTTTTTAATTTCTAATCTTGACTTATAAGGTGTACCTCTGCAGGTTAACATTAATTGTTACCTTTCTGTGTAAAATTTTATTTCTACTTCAATTTGATCGAGCTTGCATGGGTAAGTTCTTATCACATTTGAATAATTATAAATGATATTGAACGCTTTTGTACATACGTGATGTTTTTGAAGCGAGGATTGTAACAATCGGTCCACCAAAGTACTGTATGCCAACTGCTGCCATTGGAATTACAGCATCATTTACCATATCTATACATACAAAAAAAAAACCAAATGTACAATCAAGGAGCTAAGGAACAGTTTGCGCAACTCGAAAACGAAAGTGGGCCCAAACTTTCAAATCCTCCTTTGATAATCCGTTTCAATTTCCTCCACCCCTTTTTTTTTGTTTTTTTTGTTTTGGTTTTCTTGTTTCATTCTGGCATTCTGCAATCATGTCGAATATATTATGTTGTTTCCGTAACATTTGTTTTGCAGCATAGAACAAATGACCATGACATCGTTGCCAAGTGCCGAAAAAAATATCTGTTAAACAATTTCCCCATGGAGTTTTCTTTTTTACATCGGTTTTGTTTGTTGTTTTTCAGTTGCTTGTTGACATTGTATGCCATTCCATGAACGATATTTGTGTCCTTTGCAGAGTAGCCTTCACAATTTGGAACTCGATATTTTGTTTGTTCAATGATGCACCGACTGCGTTCACTACCCCTCAAATACCTGGCCTGGTAGCTTTAAAAATCATTTCGAAACATTCCAAAGAACAGCTGGTAACACAGCGACGAATGACTTACCAGGAAATATTTCAGCGAGATTCACAGGAGGTTTGTTAGTATCTAATGTAAGCTAAAGAACGGAGAAGAAATAAAGAAAAACAAGATGGCTAATTTTCAATTTTTTACCTGAGGTTTTGGTTCGTATGTCTTGGTTGTTCTAGTAGCTGTTGTTGGTTTTGCTGATGTTATTCACATTCCCGTGTAAACGTTTAGAATACCCGGGAATCTCTAGCTAATCATTTAAGAAATAACATCCACCAGGGCTTTCACATAATTGGAAACATCCATCGTATCCTTCCTTGCAATATGTGAGCAGTTAAGAGAAAGGGCACAAGGAGAAAGGGCTAGGAACCTCAGTTGTTGGATACACAACGTTGTAAATCACGGAAATGACAAGACTCCCAGTCCGTTTTAGGTTTAAAAATTTTTAGTTTTAAAATTCTTTCGCCCACTTAGAGTATGTCTTGAATTCATCCTTAACCCTTACCTTATGAGTAGCATTTTTCACCGGCGGACATCCTTTACACACAACAGCTAATGGGAAATGAATATCTGTTTGGGCGACCCGCGGAGCCTCTGTGGACAAAAAAAGCTGAGATGAGAACAAGTTTACATATCCAATGTAGACTTTTATAAAGAGAGCTCTTTTCGGTTCCTCGTTCTTTTCTCGATCCTAAATTTCAGTTTTGGGTTCCACTCGGCTCCCGAAATTCTTTAGTTATCGAGCATCAATCCAATCCTCAACACGAAAAAAGACTTTCATTCCCACTGTGTACCTAACATGTGAAACTACGATAAGGTGCGAAAGGGTTTAACTCTTTATCCTCTGAGAGTGACCAGCATCTAATTTCTCCTTACAATATCACCCCTAAATCACACATTAAGGTCAGGAGAATAAAGGAAATGATCACCAACTAAACAAGCTCCTGATTGTTAAACAAATTCTCCTTGTCAGCACTTTAAGGAATGCATAGCAAACAGTAAGGAGAATATGCAAACTGATGTTGGGGTGTGTTAAGGGTTAAGCACTCATACATTTTGATGAATAATGGAAAAAATGCACCCCTTACTCATTCCACTGCGCCTCTACTCCCAAAATCACCCAAAGTCGTTGTTACTGTTTTTTTAATGGCCAAAACTTTTTTTTTATTCGAGTTCAATATTTAGAAAGCTTAAACAATGTGTTTTTAGGAGGAGGACGGTAGTAAAAGATCTAATGTCTGTACTATTTAGTACAAAATGTGAAAAGAAGGACTTTTCAGTTTATTGTTCGAAGTCAAAGCGCATCAGAGGTCCTCTTTTTCCTTGTTCCAGTTGCTGTTCGCGTTTCAAAAATGTGACTTTTACGTTACCTTCAATGACCAGGGAGAAGGGGAAGGACTTTGAAGAACATTTTATAGAGGAGGGGAATCAAATGCACAGAAGAACTCAAACTGTGACACTCTAGTGAACTAGTAGAACTATTAACACTGTGCTGAATAAAATTAGAATTAAGAATAATTGTGCTAAAATTCGAAGATCCTGTTATTCCAAAAAATAGAATCTCCACCACAATCCTCCGCAATTAATCAGCCATATTTCTTAATCGGTCCGTCATTATGTATGTACCCCCCGCCAACACTCCTAAGGCGGTGCTAACGCCACGAAATTTCCATTTCGAATTCCCACATTACTTGTTCCTTTTCTTCGAGTTTCCCGAGTAGAAAACGAGTCTGTCATGACTACAACTGTAGTGTTTTAAACCGAGTGCCTAAAGTCGCTTGATATAATTTCATTGTGTTGGGGGATGTACAACTCGCTTAGCCAAATTAACCAGAGGTACTAGGACTGTACTTTTTTTAATTCTCTTCTAAAGGAGTTGACTTCTAGTACAGCGATACTTCTTTTCTCTGCTCTAACGAGAAGTACCGACGTATTAAGTAGGAAAACAGTAGACATGTTTGGGTTAGCTGACCGTGAGAGTTTCTATAGTGTATCCGTTCATTTTGCAAAAAGGGGGGGGAAACTGCCGTTGTCCCTCACCGAAGTACTCGGCGAGCGCCAAGGAACCAATTAAACGCTAACAGTCGAGCTGCGCACAAGAATCGCGCACGCAAACAGGGACTTCAGTGTGGGTAAAACTCAAGGTCAGCTTTACCAACACAAACACGACCACCTATGAAACTAATTATTCCCAACCATAACAAGCGATTACAGTGTCTAACACGGTAATAAGGAAATCCGCGAACTGAGCCTAGTTCAAGTACACACTAAAAATAAAAGGTCAAAACTATAAATCTGCCAAAACAACACGTAGGTGCAAAAGGCAAGGCTTAACAAAACAAAAATCTTAACCGAAAAAAAAGTCTCAAAATAACAACTTCCAATTTACCTCACAACAATTGTAATCAGGATATAAGTGAACTCACCGGAGTTTGTTACATAAGTGGCCGTGACCTGGGCTTTTAACGAGCAAGGAACAGAGCCACCGCGGGAATAGAACGAAATCTCTGCAGATACGGGTTCACTTCTGTCTCCTGTGATTGAACAAAGACGGAGTGAAACACAATGTTAGGATAATGGTACACTCTACAAGACGACTGCTCCTTCGCGGAGATGTTTCATTTACATGCAAATTAAACTCATTTTCACAAGAATGGTTGAGCATAGGCCTCGTTTTAAAAAAAAGGCCAAAGGTAATTCGAAAATGGCCTATTAGATGTGGGATTCGCATTGAGAAAGGCATGAGAAAGACATCCCAAACAGTGATTTCACGGGCGTTTCGATTTGTTCTCGAGGCTTACATGAACACGTGAAACAATTGCACTCAAACATGCGTTTTAGAGCCTCAAGATCGACGAACAAAGCCTCTGGAGCGCTCGAGTAATGATACGATTGACTTCAGTGTAGCATAGAGGTCATTTTGCGAGATTTCTGTGTTGCGGTTGCCATTTTTAGTGTTTTTCGGTAACAAAATTTAACAGGTCGCGACGGGAGGAATTTCTATAAAAATATTTTTGTCCAATATCCACATGTAGCTCATTTTACTCACCGATAATAGGAAACACTATGGATGATCTGTTACACATAATTGGAGGACTGGATATGACACTAAGAACTACATTTTCTAGGGGACTTGGTGCTTGTGACTTGAGAGTGATCTAGTGAGAAGACAAGCACTTGTTAGCGATGACAAGCGGTGCATTTTCTTGGAAATGAAGGATAATAACCTCCCCATTCGGATTTAAGGTCTGGACAAAACCAAGAAAAATAGAAAAAAAAACAAACAAAAAAAGCGCTGGTACACATCCCGCGGTAAAGTCGCTGCAAAAAGTTACCTCATGTGATTTGGGTATTTATCATCAAAAACTTTATCGCAGGTTCAATTCATGTAGACAGCAGAGCAGGAGTGATTTTAACGAGCGAGTGCTCAACCTCATACTTAAGCAGGGACCTTAAGCAACCAGGACGGCAACGCCAAGGAAGACGCCGATTGAAAATATGAATTTCTACTTTTAATTAGAATTTCGAAAATGGCTGTATGTGTTTACCGTCTCATACGGCGCCACACCTCAGCTTCAGCATGACGTATATTAGCAGCGTTGCGTTCCAAATGCAAATTACAATAAGGAATTTAAGCAAACCACGACGGCGACAGCAACGAGAGCGTGGAAAAACAATAGATCTAATTGGCAGAACAATAGCCCAGCACGAGCGTTTTAAAACTTTGTACATTTCTTAGCCGTCCTTTGCAAAACAACAACGTAAAATCACCAAAATTTGCGTCGTCTGCGAACCGAAACCGCGGCGGCAAATTATTTTAATTTACATTTGGAACTCAACGCTACTTTTACGCGTTATGTTGAGTTTGAGGTCTTGCGCCCCATGAGACGGTAAACACCTGCAGCCATTTTCGAAATTCTAACTAAAAGTAGAAACTCATTTTTTAATCTACGTCTTCCGTAGCGTTGCCGTCGTGACTGCTTAAGTTCCCTATTAACTTGCCGTCGCGGTTTCCACTCTCAGACGACGCAAATTTTGGTGATTTTACGTTGTTGTTTGGCAAAGGACGGCTAAGGAATGTACAAAGTTTTAAAACGCACGTGCTGGCTATTGTTCTGCCCATTGAATCTTTTGTTTTGCCATGTCCTCGTTGCCGTCGCGGTCGTGGTTTGCTAAAGGTCCCTAATCTTACTTCTACAACCCTAAGAGTGTCCAGCATCTAATTTCTCCTTACAATATCACCCCTGAGTCAAACATTAAGGTCACGAGAATATAGGAAATGATCACCAACTAAAGAAGCTCTTGATTGTTAAAGAAATTCTCCTTGTCAGCTCTTTAGGAAATGGATAGAGAACAGTGTGGAGAATATGCATACTGATGTTAAGGTTTAGCAAACCCCACATGGACTTTCAGTTCAAATTTACCGTTACTGTAATCGACGGGAACGTGTCGTCATCGCCGTCGTCTTTTGCGCTTTGCTGTGAACACAGATTGAAAAGATGCTCATTAGAAATTGAACTGAGCCAATTGAACAGTACTCACCTGCTATCTATGAATTTTTTGAATTCATGAAGATCATACATGTGTACTGCGTTTCCGTGAAATGCATGAAAGCGATCCTCGCAGTAATAAACCCTACTTGTCTAGTAGTGGAAATAAAGCCTGAAAGAAATTCAGGCCCGTACGGGATTAGAACCCATGACCTCTGCGATACCGGTGCAGTGCTCTATCAACTGAGCTAACGAGCCAACTGGAAGCAGGTCATTACGTTGGTTTGCATTCGACCCGTCGAAGTGATCACTTAACCCTAACCCTAAACCCAGGCCTTACTTCCACTACTACATAAGTAGGGTTTAGTACTGCGAGGATCGCTTTCATACATTTCACCCGCTATTTGGAAGTCTGATCCTGAAGCTACGTTTATGGGGAAACACTGAGCGAAAAAGCGGAACGAGCAAAGGGAAAAACATAGGGGAGGTTGGGAAGGGGGTGTAAAGGAGAGAGAGAGAGCCTGGTTCCAGGTTTGCTTGATCTCTTTTAAACCCTCCCCTGCTCTCCCCACATGTACGTACTTTATGTATATTAAGTCCCATTCCCTCTCCGACTCTAACCTCGTTGTGCTTCATTTCATTCTTCTCAAACAAAACACTTTCTGAAAATGCTAATTTGCACTGGTTGAAGGGTAACCTACTTGTATTCACAGACTATGAAAGTAACAATTTAAAGGCAACACTTGGAGAAGGACGCCTACCTAAATTTCTAGAAGTCAATGTCACGTTTATCATGAAGTTGAACTGCGCTTGTCAAATTATGCAAGTGCAAATTTCTACAATTGCTGAAATTGGAGCACACCTGGAAGGATCATTCCCCTTCTTGACTTTCATCAGCAGGTCAAATGAAATTTATGTCAGTAAGAATTGTGATCAGATTCCTCTAAAAATTGCCTCGCTTCCAAAGTGAGGTTTCGTAGCTCAGATAGCAGCAGCGCTTAACCCCTTAACTCTCAGTGATTAGCATGTAACTTCTCCCTAGAATACCCATACATGATCCCGCAAACAGATAATGAGAATACTCAAACTTATCAGGTAGAAGTTGTTCCCTTGATTGAACACCAAATTCTCGTAACCAATTCACGAGGAAATGTGTAGCAGCTAGAGGGGAGAATTTACAATCAGATCTTGGGAGTTAGGGGGTTAATTAGAATCTGGGTGGCAAGGGTTTGATTCCCGTTAAAGCCTGAATTTTCCAGGCTACTTTTCTGCTGATGCTAAAATTTACTTCACTAAAACTTGTAATCAGCAAATTTCTGAAAACGGATCTCGCCACTGTTACAGGGCTCAACACAAACGGTAGCCCAGTAGCCACAGACTAGTAGAATTTCAGTTTTGGCGGGTGGTTTTCGGTTTCCACTAGCCAGTTTGGCTAGTAAACAAACTGAAATTGTCATAACATCTACGTTGTCGCTAGTCACTTGGTTAGTAAGTTGAAAAGTTAGTGTCGAGCCCAGCCATAAAAATGAACGTTACAAGATAACGGGGTTTCCACCGTTGGGCGGTCACTTCCAAGTTGGAAAGTAAATGCTGGAAATTTATTTTTACTTTTCAACCTAAAAATGACCGTCGAACGGTCGAGACGTCGTTGTCTTTTAACGTTAATCTTTATGGTAAAAATTGTACGCACATATAAACTTTAACTACAGATGAAAAATGAGTGACTCGTGAGTGTTGAAAAATGAAAAATGAAAAATGCTGACGTCCGATCTTAACCTTACGATACTGTTAAGCGCGACTGAATACATCCACATAGAAGTCTGTGCTATATAAATGTAAAAATGTAAAAATGTAAAAATGTAATGCTATATAAATGTAAAAATGTAAATGTAATGTGTTTTACTTACTGATACTTGATCTAAACTTGTTGGTACATTTACAGAAATAACAAGGTCTTCCCTTTGCTGGGCTTTGGGTAAAATTTCTAAGGAAAAGAATGCCAAACATCAAAATTAAGGGTCAACTGTATGCAGTCAGAATTGTCTGCTAAATACTGTGTACTTATTGGTTGAGTTGGAGAGCCCAATGAGAAATACTCTATTTGATATATTCAAAGTCAAAACGTGCACTAGAGCCCATATAAGCTGAAAAAAACATTTCAAGATAAGTGCATTTTAAAAAAAACATAAGCGATCCTTTCGTTGGAAGAATTTTGGTTTTAGACAAGACGCAAAATGGGAAGCCAGCTCTTCCTTTAGAATCTACCACTGTAGAATAACAACACAATCACCCTGACTAGGATTCAACTCTGGCCCTCTTTATCTTGAATCTCTCATGCTCATCATTAAGTCAAAACATCCTTCACAGTCTTAAAAGCAAAGATAATTATATGTCAACTGTACAGTAATCAGCCCTTTTCTTACCTGAACTAATTGTAGACTCTTTTATTTCTTTTTGTAATTCTTTCATCTCAACATCTGCCTCCTAAATTTCAAAATTAAGTTACGCTCCACGTTAGAGTACAATCCGTACATTGTGCTAACCTTAATTTCATTGTAGATGTGTTTACTAGTGTGGGATTCGTAAATAGAATGCTTTTCGATTGATTTTCGTAAAACCTAAACCAGAGAAGTCACAATGGCTACTGGGTAAAATTTATAACTTAATTTAACAGCCAATGAGAACTCAGAGTAAAAACGATCAAACTGCCTAAAGCGCGGGAAAAACGCGGGCGACCATGATACATGTTACAGTTTGCATCTGATTGGCTGAGAGAGTGGGGAGAAGGTTTTCTGGACCAATCACATAGAAATGTAAAGCAAAGCCAATGCCGTCTCGGATCAGTTTCGACACTTGTTTGAAATTTGCTCTCTGTACATTGTATCTTCGATCACAATCACAAAATAAAAACTCTTGCTCTGACCTCGTAGTTGATGTCTCTTGCTTCTGGGGCTGGTGTCACCATCATAGAGGGATCAGTTCCCAAATAAGCACAATGGAGGTAGCCCCCTTCATCCAGTGTCACTATCACACCTTGTAATTCCCTACGATGAAAGTTTACGAAAGAGAACAAGATCAGTTAGTACAGTGGAACCTCGATTTAACGAACTTCTATATAACGAACGAACGATACTTCAGTTTTAGCCCGGCCAAAGTTACACTAAAATGTATGCCACAGAACCTCGATAAAACGAACCCTCGATATAACGAACCAATTTCCCAAGTCCCTTGGCACTTCGTTAAATCGAGGTTCCACTGTAGCGTGTTTTTGTGACTGACTAATCGCTACGGCTTCTGTTCCAGGCAAACTAAAGCTCTCTACCAAGAATCAGTTAGCTCTCGCAATCAAAGATACGCCGACGTTGACTGTTTTAATGACTGAAAGTCTCATATAACTTACTGAAATGAAGCTACTTTAAGGGAAACAGGAATGTGAGGTAATTGCGCCGCCCATGCAAGCGTAACATCTTGATATATCATCAGTGTTTTGTTATAAGTTGCAACCAGAGCATTTACTGTCCCTTCCACCACTGAAAAGCAAGTGTGAATAGTCAATTTACTATCAAATCTATATAGGATGTTTATCTTTCTTTATCTGTTATAAACTCCCGAGATCTGAAAGAATATTTCCACAACTGAGGAAGGAACAGTTTTTCTTTCTCGCTGTGAAAATTTGGGGCCAAGTAAACAAATCCAAACAGTAGCTCTAGCTGCTTGATTATTTTCCTAACGCTCTTTAAGTGCCTGACTTTGACAGTGCTTTTTAAAAGACAAGGAGAATTAAAGCACCGTTCTTGAGTGATAAACTTTACTCTCACAGTGCTTATCTCCACCCCGTGATATAAATGGCTACCAGCGAGCTGTCTGGGAAACCTAAAAAATGATGGGGGGTAACCCTGAAATGATGGGGGGTAACCCTGAAAATGCTGGGGGAGGCAACCCTGAAAAAATGCTAGGGGGTAAACCCTAAAAAAGGCTGGGGGTAACCCTGAAAAATGTCTGGTTAACCATAAAAAATGCTGCAAGGGGGGGAACCTGCCATGGACTGGTATCCCATCGGGGGAGGGGAAATTGCAATACCCATTGTTGCTTCATGATAGAGGGACTGAATAGGTTGCAGCTCCTTTCTCTTACATGCATTTACCTTGCCTCTGGGTCTGAAACTACTTTCAGAAACATAAAGAAAGTAATGGGTGATGTTTCAACTGCAAAGGGTATCAGTCATTAAAACATTTGTAAAAACATCATCAATAGGGAATTTAAAAGCTAATAAATAAACGCATTCTTACCTGAATTATATGGAATGAAACAACTTGGATTATACTCAAATTTTTTCATGAATCTCACTGATCCATTCTCGTTGAGACAAAACAATGAGCGTTCACCTAGGCCAAGATAATAATAGCTTTCATGTACAGTATGCTGTGTATTGAAATTTTCTTTTTTTTTATTAACAATCCCCAAATCAATTTTAATTTAATTTTTTGTTATTGCAGATCAGTTATCATAATCTCACACAAGCTTAGGGAAAAAAATTATTGCGGTGTTAGAATTTTCAAACCACACTTGAAACAAAGAATAATATTTTGAGCCACAACAAACAAGTGAACAAGATCTCATTCTTTAGATGCAAAAATTTGATAAATATCAATAACATTAATTCATGTTAATTTGGTAAAGTTGTAAATAATATACAACTGCTTCCGCTACTCCAACTGCTTCCACTACTCCTTCTGCTTCCGCCGTGTGCTGCTGCTGCTGCTGGAGCTACGACTGCTATTACTACAACTACTGCGCCAACTAGCCACAGACTAGTAGAAATTCAGTTGTGGCAAGTGGTTTTCAATTTCCACTAGCTAGTTTGGCTAGTAAACAAACTGAAATTGTTGCAACATCTAAATTATCACTAGCCACTTGGCTAGTAAGTTGAAAAGTTAGTATCGAACCCTGACTACTAGTCTACTATTAATAATATCATTATCATTATCATTACTATAAAAAATTCTCTTACCTAAAACATATATTGATAGTGGTGCATTTGCACTGGTGAAAACAACTATATCTATTGCACTTTCACCAATATTTGATGACCAGTCCATCTGCAAAATAAACCACCTCAGAACTCAGGCAACCTGAATTTCTTATATGCAATTTAACCATCTATATTATTCTG